AACATCTACTAATCTTTAGATACTTTTCTTCGAAACTATTACAATATTTTGCTTTTTTGATTCGATTTTACTCAAAGTGCTCTAATTGTTTTCGTTGCAACTCACATATTAGGTAATGAGACTACTTGCAATTTTAAGAAATAATAACAACGAAACAACTTAATACATTTTATAAAACTTACTCTTTTAGAAGTTTAGCGTACGTATTGACAAAGCAGTTGTTTTAGACATTTGACGCAAAAGCTTGAATAGACTTACATAACGCAAGCTTCAGGCGGTTATAAAGCCTGTTATTGTGTGGTGAAGTTTATTGAGAACAATATCATGATTGAAATATTAGCCCAACATGGTTTACGCTTTTAGACTTTATGTTTGGAACACCTAGCATTTGATTTGTTTGTTGATAGCTCATACTAATATTACCCAACATCAATGTCTTATTCTGTTAGTGCCAGAGATGACAGCTTTCTGGAAAAAGAAGAACAGTCTGAAGATGGTCTTTATCAATTTTTCAGAAATGGGACCGAATACTGACATAATCAAAGCATCTGCTTCAGAGGTTCATCAGAAGGCCAACAAACACGAAAAGAGAAGCTACTGCTTGTGAATTTTTTTTTGAATTGCTATATGCTGTTCCTAACTTTCTCTTTTTGTCCGAGATAGCTAGCAATTCTAAAAATTTCGTGTTACCTTTCCAACTTTTCGCAGTCTTCTAAGAAAATTTGTAAATGTGGCAGAGCTGTATTAATACCTGTCACTGGCTTCGGAACTATACTGCGTGCTAAAAAAATTTTTTTAGTGCCCCTGCTTGTAGCAGCTCAATGTCGTATAGAAATCTATTTTTGCAAATCCTTCCCTCTACATTGGATCTAAGCATTGCTTAGAATTGAAAAATACAGACCCGACTAGCTTAGAGAAATTCTATGCAAAGATGAACTTACAAATTCCTGCAAATGTCGTTTAGGGAACTCAGCTAACTTATAGCTCAGCTCTGATGGTTCTGCTCTTAACAGAACATTACAAAAACCATTGGTTTTCACATAAACTATGTGAACTATCAAAAGGTGTAACCCAAAGCCCCACAGCTATGTATCGAAGTGGCAGTAATTGAGATTATCCTACTTTTAATTGGCGTTACATAATGCTCTGATTTTCAAAAAAATAGCTTAAAATTAATTAACGCACTTCTCGCTAATTTGCTGTTTGAATTCATGCTCTTACAGAATGAAGATTTAATTATTTACGTAAATATGCTCAGTACCCTTGTCATTGACCGAGCTGGCGTGATATTTGTTTATTTGTTTACGCGTATTCTCTGTCGAGTTCATGCTCTTGAGGTTTTAAATTATTAGCAGTTCCAGTTCTATAAAAAATATCAATTAATATGATTAATTATGCTTTGCAAGGCAAGTGATGTATAATTCATGAAATTCTACATTTTCATGTATCTTTGATGTGGACCTTTACTATGGAACAACGAATTATCGAAAAGGGGTGAGAAGTAGGGTGAGAACCCTTCGAAC